CAGCTTATTCAAGAGTCTGACGAGGGCTGTCTAAGAAGTGCTGATTATGTTGAAAAATTGAAATGATCGTATTTAAACGCAACACATCCGACATGTTGTCTCGTTTACTGTACACTCATTGATGGCATTTTAAATGCCACCGGGAGAAATGCAGGGGGCCTGACCGGTGACCACTGAGATCTCACCCTCATTTTCACTACAACAATTGGTCCCCAAGTGAGGGGGTTGACCTTTAACCTCTTGTCTACGTGTGTACGTGTGAACTTGTTTGACTGGGGGTTGGAATTGATGAGATTCCATTCCTATACCCCGTGGGAATCACAGTCAAGCTCCAAAGCTTGTTTAGGCTTCCGCGCCCATGACGTGCACACGCATGCACGGTTTGCACACTCACACACAAACAAACAAAACAACGCACATTCATTGTACATATCAAGCTCGCAACTGCCCTTGGCCACCACCTTGCCGACATCCATCAATCCATTACCTGTCCAGCTTGCAGATCCGCATGGACAGGACAGCGCTGGGTGGGATAGAGGAAAGTGGCAATGATGGGGGGGCCCATGTGAGGGTGACACTAACTTGAATTAGGTCGAAATGTCCCCAGGTAAAAATAAAAATGCATTACGGAGAGAAAGTTCACATGGGGGAAGGTTCTGTGGATGTTGGCCTTTTGACATGGGATGGGTGGCGTTGATTCAATTTGGCACAAAGGGAGAATCATCCATCCATCCATCCATTTTCTGATCCGATTTATCCTCACAAGGGTCGCGGGGGGTGCTGGAGCCTATCCCAGCCGTCTTCGGGCAGCAGGCAGGGGACACCCTGAACCGTTTGCCAGTCAATCGCAGGGCACACAGAGACGAACAACCATCCACGCTCACACTCACACCTAGTGACAATTTAGAGAGTTCAATCTGTCTGCCACGCATGTTTTTGGAATGTGGGGGGAGTACCCGGAGAAAACCCACGAAACATGCAAACTCCACACAGAGAGGCCAGTGCCGGGATCGAACCCACAACCTCTGCACTGTGAGGTCGACGCGCTAACCACTGGACCACCTGGCCACCCTACTGAGACACATTTAACATAAAATCAACATAATAATGAGTTAGGATACTAATTTACTAGTTTTACTAGTTGGGACAGCAGAAAAAGAAAAATACTCACGCTAAAAATCCACCACAAGTAGCTACACACACACACACACACACACACACATCATACACACAGCGGTGCAGCGAAGCCTCAGAGCTCTGCTAAAAAAAGAAGAAAGTGACCTCTCACATGCATTTTAGTCAAGACCGTAAGTTATATGGGTTGATGTGCAGCCAAAAGTCACTTTATTTCTTATTTTAAAATGTAGCAGACACAGCAAAAGGCCTTTTCTTTCAGCGGCGCCCTCGCCCATGTTTTCAAGCGAGCGAGGAATTCATCAATCTTGACAAAGTCCGATTGGACAAAGCCCAAACAGCATTCAAAACGCTGGTCTTGCTGCACACTCAGCACTTCTGCCTTCTCTCAGCGTTCCATAGCAACACCTTATTTACACTCCCCGCCACTCAAAGTAGCGTTCCTGTTTGACCCATTTGACACCCTCGATAATAGCGCGTATGAGTGTCGTGTCGGATTTTAGTCTCTTTGCGAGGCCCCGTGTTCTTTATGAGCAGGCGGGGTTGAGAGGAGGGAGGCTGTGTGTTTGTGTGTGTGTGTGTGTGCGTGTGCGTGTGTGTGTGTGGTCTCAGTGCTGTTCGACTGCATTGTCTGTCCTCAATGTTCCACTGTGTGGCCCCTCCCTCTGTTGTTTTGGGTTACCGTCCCCTTAATTCAGTCTGGGCTCGGCGTGTCCCCAATCATTGCCCCTGTCTCCCCGACACACCTGCCAGTCGTCACGTCATCAGCCACACTCACCCCTGCGGCATAAAGGCCAGTCTGAAGTGCCGCCCCGTTGCCAGTTCGTCAGCGTACGCGCCGCCGCCTATCTTTTTACCCTCAGCCTTCCTGCACGCTTTGGTTCGGTTTCTCTGACCGCCTTTGGTTCCTGACTCCTTGACGTGCCCCCTCTTCCTGACAATAAACCAGTGCTGAGTTATTTGTGTCTGCCTGTGGGTCCTGTGCAGGCCTAGAGCAAACCCAGGCTGCTCACAACTCCGTGCAATGCGTGTCCGTTACCGCGTGCGCCTTAGTGGCGAGGAACCGATTGATTTATCGATTAGCTCGGCCATTTCGCGATTTTTTTTTTCCCCCCGCGAATTAAAACCTACTTTGTGCACCGTGGCCCCAGGAGTTGCGTCTCACACCATTAAGTCAGCAAATATCTTTACTTCCAGTTACACGCAGCTGCTGTCCCGAAGGTTCGGATTATTGAATGAATGGAAATGGGGTGTTAAGCGTGAGCGGAAATGTCACCCAAGGTTTGAATTGCATTTCATCGCCCAATGACCACTGGCTGCTCACTTCATCGCTCCGAATCACTGCGCCGCATCAATCAATGGCCAGCTTGCAAGATAAGTCTGATTGGAAAGAGAGAGCGTGTGAGTGCTCATGCGTACTCTGTTTCTATTTGTCGCTGCTCCTTGAGTGTTCAAGTACATTGGAAAAAAAAAAAAATAATGTTTGGTGAACTCAAAATTTCAAGGCAAAAAACTGATAACATCTTAAGTTGGGCAATTGAAGGAAAGATTTCAGGTTTTGCTGTCGTAAAAATTGGCTTTCCTGCATTTCATAGCAAGAAAACCCGAATTGTCCCTTGGTCCAGCCAGTTTAAGGATGGAAATAAAAGCAACTCAGCAATTTGCTTTGGAACAAACAAGTTGCTAACTTTGTTGTGCTAATTAACTTTGTCATTCATTTGTATTTTATCGTTGTTCAAACTTAAATGACTGTTTTAATGCCCAATTTTTTTCTTAATTTTATATATATATATATATATATATATATATATAATACCAATTTCAGTTTTATATATATATATTTTTTTTTTTACAGTGTAGTAGTTGTTTGAAAGTTTAGCATTAGAGTAACGTTTATCCTACTTTCCGTTAGCCCGGTTATGACATTTCACATCATATCTTCGGCTTTTCGTGAGACCAATGATCAGTATCGTTAAATATCTTTGTTTTTAATTCCACTAAGATTGATTCTCTGTTGGTTTCTGTGTCCGTTTTACAGTAAACTTCAACTGGAAGTGACCAAACGCTTTGTTGGGAGCAAGCTTTGCCTTCGAGAACGGGCACAAAGCAATTCTTGAAAAAAAAAAAAAAAAAGAGTCTTTTATTATGTTCGAGTGTGTTATACTATTTTTAAATATGTTTCAAATTTGTGGGATGGGAAAAATTATTTGCATAATGTTAGAGGTTTAGTCGAGTTGAGGTAGATGAAAAACGTGACACTAAAACTGACCAGGGGCAACAAATATTTCCTGAGTTTATTAGAAGCCAACCGGAGTAGCGTTTATGAACTGGAGTTCGGAAAAAATGCGTTCATAAGCACATGCTCGAAATTAAACTCTTGACAGCTTCATCTGTGGGGACCATTAAAAAGCATTAAATGGCCATCATGAGATTCCACCTTGGCGTACGTAGCTCAAAACAAGACAGTGATTTTCTGCTCTGTTGAGTTCACTTCCGAGTCTGATCTAAAACACAAACAATTGTCTTGGTGCTACCCTTGATAGACACAAGGAATCTGTACGTTATGGTGGTAGTTCGTTGTAACCGTTTTCAATAAAATGGCCGCCAACTACGATGTATGACACAGTCTGAACATTTATCGGTGTTAAAAACACGAACGTGTGATACAGTATATAGATGTCAATTACAAATATGTGTACTTGAAGAAAGACGGATTTTACCCCAAATCCGTTTACGATCATCTTTCAATCAGTTGGCCTCGACGTCTGGCATGATTTTGTTGCTACTACGAATGATCGTCGAAATCGGTGACTTTGCCAATTCGTAGTCTGGGCTGAGGGAGATTCCCTTTCGAAAGTGAGAAACGATTTCAGCATTCACAGAGAGCGGATTTTGCTTCCGTTTACCACACATGAGGACGGCGCCGTGCCTCCGGAAGTACAACAAAGTACGAGTCGGTCAGTAGCTCAGCAACGGAGGGGAATCCCGGCTGTACATTTTGTTCATAAACCAGGTCTCCGTGGCAGTTAGCCTCCCACTGTTCCTTGTAATGACGTCCTTTTCCCTATTTTAAATCTGGTCGTGATTATGAAGATTACGTTCTAAAGGTGTTCGTTGTAATTAAAATTGGCAAATGGAAAATGAATTACTTCGAAATGTGAACGTTAAAGCGGTGAAAACGTACGTTAAAAAGAGGTTCGACTGTATATGGAATATAGAACACGTCGCAATTTCTTGGACACACGTGATTTAACTATAACTGCTCTACGTTATGTTGCAAAACAATGCCTTGGATATATTGCAGACATCCACTGGATTTGGTCACCCACTGTGGCCATGAAAGTGAATTTTAAAAGGAGCGTAAAGCACAGATTGACACTCCAAAGTCCATCTATGTCAAGTGAGATCAAAGATACAGCGTGACAACAAAACAGTTCATGGACATCACACATTATTCAGTCGATGAGTCATCTGCAGTGCGATTGTGCTGTTCACTTAAGCGCATCACACTTCAATCTCCTGCTGCTTGTATGTAACAGAGCATCGTGTTGCCAGGTAAGTTTGCGATGCATCACTATCATCACACAATCTGTGATGCAAAGATGTGAGCACGCACACCTCTTTAAAAAAAACACACACAGCAATCAACTCATCCTCGGTTTATAGCGACAAACTATCAGAGGTAATCGGGACATCTTGAAAGAATATTTGCACGCCGCATCTGATGTTTCCCAGTGATGCACTGCAGCGCAGCGACGGCACTGTTGTCATCCTTCTTGTCACATCAGAATGGAAACAAGTACCAAGGAAGTGTGAGATGCGATTAATTCGAAAAGTGCAAACGAAAAAGTGAGGAGAGAAGCTACCTTAACGGGAGAGCTCCGGGTAGCGACGGGCAGCTCTCTGGCGGCGCTGCCCGGGGGAGACGCCGATATCCCGGCTGCACAGCCCTGCAGCGAGCCCCCGGCCACGGGCTGCCTGCCCGCGCCGCCTCGCTGAGGCCGCTGTTTAATGCCGTCCAGGAGGCGAACGAGCAGGATGTTCGCCGGGAGGTCGTCCACTCCGCAGTCCACCAGGATGCGACACTCCGGGCAACGCAGCTCGTTCCGGGAGCTGACGATGTTCTCCAGGCAGCGTCGGCAGAAGGTGTGCTGACACGGCAGCACCTTGGCCGTGGTGTCCAGGCGCTCCAGGCACACCGAGCACTCCAAGAGATCCAGCAACGACGAAGACTCGTCCATGTCGGCGGAGAGGGTGATCATTTGGGCTTCAGGCTCCGTGGAGACGCGGCGTCGGCGGCGGCAGCGGCTGCTGGTTCTCGTGGCGGAGGAACGGACCGCGAGCACAGAACATTCTGGGAGGCGAGCAGACGGGAAGCAGTCGAGGGACGCCCCGCGCGCGTCGTCGTGCACTTTCCTCCCCCGGGTCGTCTCCAGTGTGTCTGTGTGCCTCCCCTCGCCGTGTGTCCGTCCGACGCCCTCCCCCTCGTCTCTCCGGGTGTGCGCGATCGCGTCTCCCGCGGCTGTGCTGGAGGCGCTGAGGTCACGCTCTCGTCGCCATCCTCACCCCCGTCATCATCACTTATCGCAATCGCGACGCGTGCGCACAGCCGAATTGATGAAGAACGTCGAGACGAGACAACTTGTCAATCAACACAAGCTCGAGGACTAAGCTCGGGACGAGTGAAGTAATCGCAACAATAAGGTGGGTGTGCGAGGGCAAAAAAAAAAAGTAGCTCACCCTTTTCAATATGGGCAATACCGATTTAACAACCCTAAAGGTAGGCCGTGTCTGTATCACAAAGGGCGTCATGACAACATTAGATTACAATCTAATCTAACAGTAGCCTGTACAAAAACATTTTGTTTCGTGTGTTTCTCGTTGTGGATTGACTTCACGGTTCTGTAAATCTGCGCAATGTTTTGAGCATTTTACTTGCCTTTGATACGGATCCTTCGTTAGATTTTATTCGTATAAAGTATCGTTTTGGCCTGTAAGAGTTGACCACACTTATGTGCGTTCCTTCAAATTTCCCCATCTTATCTACCTGCACAGAGAAGCAACTCCCTAACTTGTGTTCTCATGAAAAAAAAAGAATAAATTGGCTTTTATTGCCACCTAGCGGTAAAACGTCAATTTTGTTTTGTTTATTTCAAAAGGTCTGATTGCCATAGCGAGTGATAAACAAGTATTATCGTGGAATATTGGAACGTTCAAGAACGATTTCGATTAATTAAAGAAAGTGAACAGATATTGACAGAGGTGCCACAAAGGGGGATAAAATCAGTGACAGTTCTGAAGGCTCATCACTGACAGGTGGGTAATAAATGACTTTTTTTTTTTAAGTAATATTTTATGGGGTCCCAATTCCCTGGCACGCCTAGATATGACCAACATTCTAATCCACTCTTTGGCGTGTGTGTGTTGCTAAAAATCCTGTCATCTGTTAACACAATATTGGCAGCCACATGTAGTTATCAGTCGGCCTACGTTGCCTGTCCACCTGTCCAGACCTGCTCCACTCTTGCAATCTTCCAGCGCCAGAGGGATCAGCAGTGCATGTGCTCGTCCCTGTGTGTCAGTATGCGACTTTTTGCACGGTGAAGGTCAGGGGGGCTAATTGCCTCCCACGGTGAAAAGCTCAGGGTAGAGAGATTATGTAAAAGGTGACGGGTGAATGTGTGTGCAGGTAGAGAGATGTCAAGGCAAAATTATACGACACAAAAGCACCGCGCCTTCACGAAAGCAAAGTAGGACGGCTGCCGAAACACGCTTGTTAAAATGTTTCAGAAAATGTGTGGAACTGGTGGGGGGCTGGGGGGGGGATAATATTGGAAAAGGCAGAAAATAATGTTTTTGGAGTAAATAGGATTTGTTTGCAGATCCCATCAATGGCATCGCGGATCGATCCGAAAATTATGACATTACAACCCATCGCAGAGTTTTCACAACATGGCAAATAACTGAGCCAGCCAATTGGATCTGTGTAAAGTTGACCTCTGACCTGTACAACTCAATTGAAAAAAATATCTATTTTCATCTGGTGAAGTAGAAATAACCAGCTGAGATCACGTTCAAATTTTTCCCCACTTTGTTTCATCGTTGCAATAATCAAGCGCCATGAAAAATCCAGATCATTATTTCTTGCGCCGCATCACTTACGGAAGTTACGCAAATGCAGCCCTCACCTGACTGAAGCATTATTTGCAATCTCTTCTTTCTCATACTCCCAATAAGCATCACGAAAACAATCGACTGTGCTTCTATGTCAAATATTATTTACACGGAAAGCCACATGTGTGTCGCATCAACGTTCCCCTCATCAACCAATGGACTCGGTCGGCTCATGCAAAAGTAGGTTAGCCGATGCGGCCGTCACCATGGAAACCATGTCTTTATTCCTTGTTTATGGAGCAGTTTGTAAATGTGCGAGAACGAGGGAGGCTAACGGGTGCTAAAATGTCAAAGAGAGTCTAGATAAATTTTATGTATTTATTTATTTTTAATTCTGATTGAAAGATGACAATGTTTGACCCTGGATACGAGTAGTATGGATAAATGGAGGGAAGGATGGGTAACACGTTCTGCCTTGGGTTCCTGTTTTTGATGACCTCACCATATTGGCTTCCAAGTTTGCTAAGCTGATAAAAATTCAACATGAGCTCCACTGTGACACAATTCCTCGAGACAGCTTTATTCTGCTCAATACAACACCGACATGGAAACGGGAGTTCAGAACATTTGGCAAGCTTCCTCTCTTCCATTAGTTATTCATTTGATTTATTTCTTGTTTTCCAAATGGTCGATTGAGGAATTTGAGTCAAACCTTCCATCCTTCATCTTATGATTTATATGTGGCATTTTCATCAATCTATGGCTTAATCGTTGTTTATTCTGTCTGACTGCATGTTAAAATACCCAATAAACATTGCTTATCTCGTCACATTTAATCGTTTTATGTGGCGCTGTGGCTTATTTATCTCTGACACCATCCATCATACGGAATAGAGATTTGTGGCGGTGTACATTTGCTTTTTTCGTTGTATCGCATTACACTTCAAGTTTATCATTTCCTCATCCTGTATTTAACCTCTCATCTCATTTTATCTCATCTCTTCCCCTCTCCTCCTCGTTTTTCCCCCTCTCAGAATGCCCCTGGCTCAACAATAATGACAAGTTTTGCAGATTTAGTCAGACGGGGATGCCGACTGAAAGAGCAGGTGGAGGAAGAAGAAGTGAATGACCACCAACGAGTGAAGATAAGAAGCAAGGAGACAAGAATATGGTCAGAGAGAAAGAAACACAAGGAAACGGGGAGCGTCAAGTAATTACAGGTCTCCCCGAATTTTCAAAGCAGCTCTTTTATCTCTTTCTTCCTGTGGCAGAGAAGCGGCGGAGAGGAAGGAAGGGAGATCAAGACCAAGCTTCGGTCCTTTTCGCACAACAAATGGTCTACATGACACTGAATCACACGTATACGCGCTCACCACACGCAGAGGCACGCAAAGGCTAATTCCTAGTTGAGTTTCTTTGCAGTGAATCTTTATTTCACACGGCAAAGAACGTCAAGCGTGAGCCAATAATGCTCCATTTATATTGTTAATTTAGCTGTGTGTGTATTAAACAGCCGCGGTGACGTCTTTGGTATGTGACAGACAATTTCCACTGATGTGATTTCGAATTAGCATCTGGAGTCAGAACAAAGTCCGGGTCTACGGAAAGCCATTTTGGTCATTTTTACCATTTACTTGGTATGCACTCCATGTCCTTGTATGTGAGGCAAAGCCACTATTGGGGGCATTTTCGTGGTACCAGTAGGGTGCAGGACGCTATTGGTTGTGCCTAATAGTGGTACCAAGTTCAACAAATTATTTTACGAACAATATTTTTGTCTTCTCGTCGGCCAAACGTGCCATCAGTTGTGGAAAATTACTTGACTGACGTTCTATAACTATGATAGTTGTTCTATTAATGGGCTTCATTATGTTACGATTGAGGACAAAGAGCACAGTAGTACATTGACCTGAAGATGGATATCAACGATATCGAATACACGCTGAAAAAATTTCCAAACTTGTTGTTGTTAGTACTACTACCTATTTATGACCACTAGAGGGCAGAGTCGAGTCAGGACCTGCAGCCACGCACATTCCATTCCAGGAGTTTACCTGCTCTCCTCTGTCTCAGGGGCGGAGAAACTTTCCCACTTTTTTCACCAATAAGGAGGAGCCTGCAGACACGCTCAACATGCACACTAAAAAGTGGATGCAGAGACTCACGTTCAGCTGCTTGGAGTGAGACCTTCATAGTCAGGCAGTCCATCAGTGATGCTAATCACAGGTTGATCCTGCACAAGTTGGACCAGGACTGACAGCTGAACCAACAGTGCAACATCTTTGGAGAGAGCAGACCGTTGTGGCCCCCCCACCCACACTTACCTCTGGAGAGGACTGCAGGTAAGACCTCTGAGCAGCGGTGGAATGCCGGTACAGATTTCTGCAAGACTTTGGGAAATTTCGAAGCAGGCCTCATTGTTACTTAGCTTACATTTTACATTTGAGGATGACAGGGATTGTGGGATCGAAAATAAATCCATGTCACGTTTGTCTGTTTAGTTCTGATTCGTGAAACTTTCCTTCAATAAAGTCACATGGTGTGCATTTGACTGGACGGTGTGGGCTAGCCAAACACATGTAATGCAGATGTAAAGTTTGGCTGCCAAGTGCATAACATTGCAGAGAGGTTGCTTTATTTGCATGCATGAAAGGAACATCCCTAAAGAAACGGCGTTGTTATGCATGCAAGCTGCATGTTGGTGCAAAGCTTTCAGCCCCAAGTTACAAACACTTTAGTTGGCTTCATCATAGCCTTGATAATCTGTTATGCTCTGCTAACAAGGCCGCCTTTATGTTGTCCTGAGTGACCTCGCTACCAACTTATTTCAATAGCACTTAATTAGTTACACCATCCCACGGGAGAGCGCTCGTGTACGCCAAAGTACTTTTGGGGCTATGTGTGCGGTTGTGAGCGGGCGCACCTTCCGCCTGTCTGCATAATTGTTTTCATGGTGCCGCCTGAGTGTCCCGGGGCCCTCAGGGAAAGTCCTGCCCGCAGACAGGCAGCTCGGCCCCGGTGGGGACAAGCCGGGTCCTGCCGAGCTTCTGATGTCTGCTGGCTGACTTTGAACTGCAGCTGCTGAAGGTGGAAATCTATCTGTCTCATCCACACACACAAATACACACACACACACACACACACACACACATTTCGCCAATGCCCCTCCCTTTGCTCGCAAGCCCCCCGAGCGACCTCTGTTGCCATCAAGTCTTTCATGTTCACAGGTAAAAAGGCTAAAGAGGAAGCCACAGGAGGATGGAGATGTAATCTTCAAAAGCTGTAAATATGACTTTTGAGGATTAAAGGGGTACTGGCATAGAAAAAAAATACAGCATGAAGTTTCATCCTCATCACTCTTGACTGAATTGAATACATGCCCCGTTTGGCCATTCACCACCTTGTTACTTTACACTAAATTCATATCCTAACACTGTTTAGTGGATCCGTGTGTTTCCCTGTTAAAGTCGGGAGGTGATTTATGTTGAACTGTCAGAGCTGATTCGCCTCCAAAACGCACGCCTAACCACAGTGAAAATTGTCGAGCTCCAGAGGCCCATTTGTTCATTCATCACCCTCCCGAAACAGAATTCAGTGAAGTGCATTCATCAGCATTATATGCGGAAGTAACTTGAATTCCGCTCATTTGTTTTTAATTCAAGACAACTGTTTGCTTTTTCAATGCCAGTGCAACGGGCACTACAACTACTCCCATAGGCTCCATTAATATGCAGAAGATGGTTTTCATTCATCCATTCAGTCAGTTGCAGGGCAGCTATTGCGAAATATGTTGTTGAAGTTACTCCATTTTATTTTGTCAAGTGGTTGCGCAGAATAAAATCATCTGCATCCAGATATTTTTTTTTTGAAATGATATGTATAGTCTACTTCAAAAAATTTATCCTGATCGAGATGATTTTATTTTGTGGAACTGCTTGATCAACCAAATTCAACACATTTTTTTTTTCAGTGCACACTCACATCTACGGGCAATATGGAATCAAGGAACCCTTCACAAGCACGGGAAGAAAATGAAAATATGATACAGCTTCGAACCCTGGCCCTGACTGTGATGCAGAAGTGCTAGCCAGCAACACTGTTTTTTTTTTTTAATAGTCTGCCGTTTCTATTCACGCATCCCATATTCATTTTCTCTTTCTTCCACTATCCACCAGCTTGCTCAATACAACATGGCTACAACACAAAATTAACATCATCAAGATGTTTTTTTTTTCATGCCCGTCACTCAGCCTCAAAGTTGAAAACTACCCCTCAATTTCTATTTTAACTCTTAGATGAGAAAAGTATTCTAAGGATGAAAAAGGAAAGCCAGCGTTGGTGACTGAACGGTTCAAAGTTCCACCGTTCCGTGAATAATGAATGTAAGCTTTTGTTAAATTGTTAATTTTTCTCATTTTGTGTTTGAACATTACAGTATTGTCTTTGATGTTAAAGTTACCTAGATTATATTCTCTTTAATAATTTCTGAAACATGTTTATTTTGAGAGCGTCTGATTGGCTGAAGAAAACAGGAAGTGTTTTAGTAGCCGGAAGAAGGAGTTGCGTTCTCGAACGTGCTGCGGTGCAGACGACTTTTTTTTCCCCCTTTCAATGAAACTGCATTCAAAGGATTCCATCTCTCCTTTTGCCGTTCGTAAAGTAGAGCTGTCCACTAAAAACAACGAACCCCTCAACTTACATTAAGATGACATCACGCCACTTCATGGGGGG